CATAAAGGTATTAATGATTAGTAAACCTTTATAAACATTTGCACATGATGAATAGTTTCCACTTTAGATTGGGTACTGCAAAAACATGAACAAGTAATTAATAAATTATTTGTTAGGATGTGTAAATAGAGGTCTACACAACAAACAAAGACCAACAGTAAGTGAACTGAAAGTTTACTGACATTTGTAAACATTTCAATTTACATTAAATAATCATATGTTAATCATTAGGTAATGTTGAGTAAGTTCATTAGTAAACATTAACAAAAACATTATCTCATATTTCTAGCTATGTGAATATATATTAACTAATGATCTGTTATGCATTATATAATGTTTGTTAATGATTTATAAATGAAAGTTATTATAAAGTGTTACCGGGGTGGGTAACTTTTTCTAATGCTTTTGAAAGAAGTATTTTATGCTCACTAAGGTTGTATTTATTTGATCAAAAATATAGTAAAAACAGTAATATTGTGGAAATATTATTCTAATTTAATATAACTCTTTTCTATTTGAATATATTTTAAAAAATCATTCTAATATGTTGATTTGCTGCTTAAGAAACATTTATTATTATCATCAATGTTGAAAACAGCTGTGCTGCTTAATATTTTTGTGGAAACCATGAAGCAGTGTTTTTCAGGATTCAATGATGAATATACATTTCAAAAGAAATGCATTTATTAGAAAAACAATTCAGTGTCACTTTTCATCAATTTAAAGGGGTCATATGATGCGATTTCAATGTTTCCTTTCTCTCTGGAGTGTTACAAGCTCTTGGTGCATAAAGAAGATCTGTAAAGTTGCAAACACTAAAGTCTCAAAACCAAAGAGATATTCTTTATAAAAGTTAAGAGTTAACCACGCCTACCTAAAATGGCTCGTTCTAACACGCCCCCACATACCTACGTCACGATCTGGGAAGATTTGCATAACGCCGCCCAAACGTTCACGCACCAGAACACTTCAACCCAAATATTCAGATGTGTGCAGCACATTTTATGGAGGACCGTTGCTGGCCAATCACAGCACACCTTGCTTTTTCAGACCGATGAGCTTTGTAAAAATCGACGCGTTTCAAAAAGGCAGGGCATAGAGGAGAAACAATAATGTACAGTATGTGGAAAATAATGTGTTTTTTTAACTTTAAACCGCATAAACACATTTCATTACACCAAATACACAAAATAATGTTCTTTTTAGCAGCATCAAATGACCCCTTTAATGCATCCTTGCTGAATAAAAGTATTTTTTAATGAAATCTTACTGACCCAAACTTTTGAATTGTAGTGCATATCAAAAATAAATAAGCTACTGCAAATAAAATAAAATATAAAATAAAATAAACAAGCAAACAAACAGTAACTTTCAACAAACTTTTATGAGTAAACATAAAAATACATTATTAATGCTTGGGTTTCTAAGGGTTAACTCCCTTTAAAATAAAATTATCTTGCATATGTCAAAGATTGACACCCTGCATGGACTCACGGGTAATAATAACTGAAGCATGTCCAATACCAGAACAAGAGCCCTGAAGAGTGTGTGTCCATGCTTTGTCATGGCCCAGTAACATTCCTGCCGCACGCACAACACACACACACACACACACACACACACTTCCTCAAGCAGGCCTCACCTGACCAGCACCTCCACACCTGTCTGCTCTAATCAGTGCTGTGTGACAGATACGCACCGCTGTGTGTGCGCGCATGCATGTGTGACAGGTAGACAGTGCCGTCACTTCATAAACACATGTTCTTTACGACACGCTTCACCTCTCTCCAATCCCTCAGTCTGTCTTGTCCTCTCACTCCCAAAATGCCTCCCTGGCTGTGATGCGATGAAAGCTGACAGTGGATTTCACATTGATCTCCACACACAAGCGTGGATCACGAGGATTTGATGGGTGCCGCAATCAGCCTTATCATTGCGTTCTTTGACCTCTCTCACTCCTGTTTCCCCTCAAACTCTCCTACAATATCAGCAATTTTACACAGTTTGGATCTTTGATAAAGCCGTAAACATTTTTGTGGTACATGAATGCCAATTGGACCCTTATAGACCAAAAGTGGCAGAACTCATTGGGCTGCAGGCAAGAGCTAGAATCGTGTGAGCTGACACCCGGCTTCCAGCTCATTAGGTGGGCTGCAGCTTGAATCTCAAGGGAAGTGTGTCAACAGTGACAACCTGGTGGTTTTGTTCCATTACAGAAAGTGCATGAAGGTAAAATACAAAAACGAAGTGTTGTGGGGTCTACATTTGTAGGTTTTGTGCAATGTAAAGTGTAGATATTGCTTATAAAATAACAGGTGCAAACATACACAGAGGAAAATGAAAGGGCTGCATGCACAAAAACTCGCTGCCATGATGCAGGGGCTTGCCATGTCATTACTATGCGGCTGCTAAGTTGTTCTGGATTTTATTGTTACATGCATACACTGAATACTTAGTTCAAATACCTGCACTAAGTATAACAGCCGTATTGTTAACATGTAATAGCGTCCTTGTATTTCGGAATAAATATTAAAACAGAAATGTGTGTGTGTTTCTGTACTCGTACAATGACACCCTCCAGTCTGCCTGTGTATTTTACAGAGGACACACTTCTGTGTGACTGTATTAGCATACCAATAGAGCTCCTGTGCTGCGGAGTGGAGGAGAAAAATTGAATTGGAAGGACAAGGAAGATCAGTGCTGTCGGCTGGAAGCAACTTCATTGGATCAGAAATGTGTGTTAGTGTGTGTATATTTAATAGACGGCTACCTGTGTGAGCTGGCATGAACGCACTGATTATGTAGAGCAGCCTCACCTGGACAAGAAAAAATGTGAAGCAAGTGCATACACACAACTCACACACATATCTGTGGCCAAATACTCTTGAATAAAAAAAGAAAAGAAAAAGGATGGCAAAAATTTCTGTCATCAACACACCTTCACCTTAGCTCTCCTTCACTACACTGCATGTTTTTTTTTTTGCTTCTATAAAACCACAAGTGCAGAAAAGTTTTCAAAACTTTCAAAAAAGCTCTGTCAAGCCAACATTAAAGTTTGTCTTGACAAACTTCACTTTCCTATTTAAAAATGCCAGCTATATGAAATCATGCTTGCAACCTCAATTCAAATGCAAATCAAATTTAGAAAATGAACTTGAAAAAGCATAGGAATCTAAAAGGTATTTTTAAGTCAATTCTTACTTAACTTGCACAACACAACTCTTGTAGTGAAATGTCTTTGCCACCAGAAGTCCATCAGTTTCAAGCTGAATTTGTGCAAGACTATATGTGAACATGTATGCATCCTAATGTCAAAGAATGAAAACATCTGAGGAATTAAGGAGGAGGAAAAGAGAATGAGGGAGCGTCAGAGGAGAGAGGAGACACAGAAGAGCCCCTCTGGATTTACCCCACTGTGTCATCAATGACAATCAAGCTCCTTCATCACATAACCCTCACCTGGATCTCTCTCTCTCTCTTGCACACACACACACACACACACACACACACACACACAGAGTGACTTCCTTCACCTGGATCACAGTCTTCCCTACTTCCTAGGGCTCTCTCATCTGCTCCCGTCATCTCATTATCTGTCACTTTTATCAGATCAAGAGTGTCTCTGTCTATCTGAGCGCCACTTCACATGCCGCCCTACTGCGTTCATAATTACGCGTGAAAATTGTTCCCACCTATAGCCTTTGTCTTCTCTCCTGCTCTTTGCCATCATTCTGCGGTGGAAATGTAACAATCTCAATTATCATTACAACTAACACCTTCACCCCCTCATAAATCATATCAAATCATCCCAGTCTCTCCCTATTTCTCCTCAGGAAATGTGACAATATCACACTCTCATTTTGACTCTTTTTAGGTTTCTGCATTGACTGTTAAGAGTACTTAAGTTCTGTCTATCCACTCTATCCACTCTATCTTATTCCTGTCGTCAAAGCTGAATTTTCAGCAGCATTACTCCAGTCTCAGTGTCACATGATGCTTCAAAAAGCATTCTTATGCTCAAGAAACAATTCGTATTACTATCCATGTTGAAAACAGTTGTGCTGCTTACTATATTTGAGGAAACTGATCAGTTTTTTCAGGTTTCTTTGATGAATAGAAAGTTCAAGAACTATAAAATTACTTTTTGTAACATTATAATGTAATATAATAATGCTATTACTGACACTTTTGATCAATTTAATGCATTCTTGCTAAATACATATATTATTTCTAAATAAATTACAATGATATATATATATATATATATATATATGTGTGTGTGTAAGCATTTAAAATAAACATTAACTGCAAAATAGTACCTGTATGTATAATTTATTTTAATGAATTGTTTTTGTGTGTGTGTGACATGCAACTCAACAAATCTGTCTTAAAAACATCACACGCAAATATTACACAAGCCTCAGCGAATCCAATATACTTTCAAGTAAAGTTTAAATAATTATTATAATAAACATTTAAACAAAAGTCATAGGGCTCCATTAAAATGGCATCACCCTCAGTCCAAACTGGGTTCCAGTACTGCCTCTCCCCCGTACTTTCCTGTCTACACTATACCGTCCTATAAATAAAAGTAAAAAATATAACTCTGCTTATTGGTCCATAAAAGACTCTTTTTTTATTAGAGAAAGGTATGAAGACCACTTGCAAGCGTTTACTTTGATTCTTCCTAAAAGTCTACAAAGCTCATTTCTACAAATAAAGGCCACACCAGAGCGTATAGCCACCAATAACACACTACTCTTACTTTTACAGCAAAAAAAACTAACATTCTTAGATGCTTTCGGTGTAAAAGCCAATAGAACAAATAAATAGAGTGGACACTTTATTGTAGTAATTGCATTCTCTCAGAAGAATGAGAGAAACATAGTAGTGTACTACATTCTAGTTGTTGCTCTTCTGTTGAACTGTCCAAATATTGGTCTATTCCATTGTTTTTAATCTGCTCAAAGTACCTTCTAATCATACATACTGACACTTACCAGCACATTTGGTCCGAGTGATGAGGGGTGGTCCCGGTGGTCCAGTGCCACCTTCCCCAGGTCGGGTCAGAAGAACCTTAATCTCATACTCCACATCTGGATCCAAATGCCAGAGCTTGTACGTTGGCGCATCCACAACATGCGTCTCGGCCCAGTTTCCAGTGGTGGTGCGGTACTCAACCTCTTTCAGGATGATGGGGCCGTCACCGATGATGGAATTGGCGTTTGGTTTGATCCACAAGTAGGTGGCACCAACTGCAAGAAGCTCAGGTGGAGCGATGGGTGTGGGTGGCGCTGAAGAAGAAGAAAGAAAGAAGGGGATTGTTTATTATCTACAATCTTTATTTATCACCTCACAACCAAGCCCGTCCACATTGGCATCAAAGAATCGCAAAACTAGTTGACATTTTATCATCATGTTGCCTTCAAATTTCTCCTGGGAAGTTTCTACTTTGAAACTCAGAAGTCATAATTATTATGAAGCGTGTTGAGTGTCAGAATCAAAAAGGTTTTCATATTTCTTTCTTTTGCACTCCACAACAAAAAGCTTTTTAACACTAGTGCAACAAAATGAAGCGCAAGAGATGTGCATTAGAATCAATGTTTTATCTGCATATTTTTGTTTCTTCTTCATCAATAGCATGTGTACAAACTAATGCATTCACCATACAACTATTAAGATCAATACCAAGCATCTTCAATATATAAATAAATCGATATTTGGTGGATTAGAGGTGGAAGAAACAATAGAAAGAAATAAAGTGGCTGCACTGAAATACATGAGCCAACTCTGGCAATAATTTTTCAGCAAATTTAAAAAGTTGTTGAAAGAGCAATTAAGGGCCGTAGAAAATAATCTCGCTTCAGTATTACACTGCATTCAGACATCATTTCACATTTGCTTTTGTAGTGCAAAATGGTGAGAGAAAAATGAAGGCTGCAATTACAGTGATGCATGCGGCTGAAGCTTTGGAGCTCATTAAGGGATATCAGACAGACTTGCTTGACCGGCAGAATTGTTAGAATAAATGGAATGAAACGTTTCCTGGAATCCCAGTTGAGAAGGTGGGCTATAGCTTTTTCCCTTAACACTTAGCCAAGCTCTCTTCCTCTCCCTCTCTCTCTATTGCTTCTACCTACTCACATTAAATCCACTGGAGACAGCTTACGGCTTGCACTGCATTAACTTCCTGTTTCTGCCTGTCTCTTCCTTCTTTGTCTCACTGCCATTGAGCACCTCAGATTTACCTTCAAACATGTGAAAGGTAAACAATATTTATTTTTTCTTCTTTTCTTGCCTTCTTCCTTCTTTCATTGTTTACTCCCTTCCTTCTGCTTCCAACTTCCTCTCTCCCTTTTTCTTCCATTCCCCTTCCTTTTCCTTGTTTTTCTTCATTTCTTTCTTTTCTCCTGTTTTCTTCCTTTATTCTTTCCTTCCTTTTTTACCTTGATCCCTTTTCTTCCTTACTCCCTACCTTACTTCCATACTTCCTCCCTCCCTTCCTTCTACAGGATTCTTTATTTCAGGAAAATAATAAAGAGAACCCAAGCAACCATATAGTGATGCCCTAGCAACCAATCAAAAGACCTTAGAAACGATCTGGCCCAGCCATCAAAACATTTTCTTTATAAAATATAAGAATTCAATTCAAACATTTTTTGTTTCCCGGACGACGAGTTTCCCAAGTCATATTTTTAACTTCCTAATGTAAAAATTCATTCTGATTCATTTTCTTTATTTGATTTTATTTGCTTTCTTTCTTTCTCAGTTCCTGCCTTCCATCTTCTAATCGTCTTTTTGGCACTATTTCTCAGCGGGAGATGGGGCAGACACTAATCCATGGCTAGAGGTGAGTAGCGGTGCATGAAGGGTTCATCCGAGCATGGAAGAGCCACCCAGGCCCACTCTAATGAGAGGCTGCTGTCTCTACTGTGCCATGTAATCAACTGAGCCAGATTACCAAAGCCCATTTACCCACAGCTGATAACCACTGACTCCCTCAGCTGCCCGGAAAGGATACGCTCTAGCTTGGAGAAGAGAGTTTAGACGTAACCCGTCAACCTCCGAAGCTTAAGAGCGTTTAGTGCTTGAAATGAAAATGAAGGTGGGAGAAAATAAAAACGATAACAGAAAGGAAGGAGGAATAATAAAAAGTAAACACAGATTACCAGAGAAAAAAGACAGGAAATATAGGAGGGTTTAAAGAAGAAACCCCCCCATTTTTTTTTTTTTTACATTTTCTGCAGAAACTGTCCACCTATGGTCTCTACAATATTCTGGTTTTTAAATGAGTCACTCATTTAAAGTCTATTGGATATTTTTCACCTTTTTTCGGCTTAGAAAACGAATATATGTGTAATACTTAAGCATAGGCATTTAAATCCCTAACCATAAACATGACCAATAATTTGCCATAGTAAACCCCAGTAATAATGACTGCAAAACAAATCTTCAACACTTTAGTGTGAAATGAGATATTGCTTATGGATAATGTCTTATTTATCATATGAATGGACTCCAGCGTGTTGTTCATCAAGGTAGCTGTCACATCCAAATTGCAATTTTGAAGTAGTGCCTTTGTTCAAACCATTAATACACTTCCATCGTTTAATGCATTTTCAGCAGTCTTTATGTCAGCACATTGTCCTGGCGTGGGCATTTATGGTCCTGCAGTTGATAAACTTGGCGATTAGTAGAGTGTTTTTGGATTGAGCGTTTATGATTGCAGCTGGATTGAAATGAGGTTTGGAAGCTGCTGATGATTTACAAACTATTTTGTGCTTCCAGCCTTAACAATGTGGTTGTTGATTAGTGCTACGTCACTACAGAGATCAACATATGTTCATTATAGGAAAGTTAAAACATCTGATGTCTATTAATTACTTTGTAGTCCCATTCAGGTCACTTATTGCTTAGGATGATGCAACAGTCTTCACAAATAAATAAGAAACTGTGGTATCATGACAAAGAGCAACTAATAACTGAAAGTGCAAGAAGATAGGTGAGAGAGTGCTTGTATATAAATATACTGGCAGAACAAAAACAAATATAAGAATGACACAAAGGCTTCAGATCATCTCAGCTACTTAAGTTCTCCAGTTCTTATGTCAGTATATTCTCTCAAAAAGATGAAATGAGAATGAATAAGGAAATATGCTAGGCTCAGACAGGCTAGACACAACCACACAGTGCCACACAGTATGGATACAGATAACAAAAGGAGCATTACCCGTTCACCAGGGGTCCCTTTCACTCCAGGAAAAGCCCATTTCCTACAGACATAAGAGACTTCCTGCACACACTATTTACTATTTCAGGTGTAGAAGAGCATGTGTGAGGGAGCACAATCCTAAATAATCTCTCTCATCTTTTCTTATCAAAATTCCCTTGATACACAAAGTTCATTCCCATTTCCACTGATACTTTGCCATACATTCAGGAATATTAGCGGCAATGTGGTGATTGGAGTCCCTGTGCAGGTGTATGTGTGTTCATGTGGCCAAGCGCCCCTGTAATTTTATCCTTTATCACCTGGTGTCTGCAGGGAGGTTTTAAAAACAGCTGGATTTGTGAGAAATCTCCAGAAATCCCACCCCGCTATCTGATCAAAGCCCACCGGGTTTGTCTGATAGCAGAGCTGGAGGAGAGAGAGATGAGCTCCACCGTCAAATGGGAATTTGTAGCTGTGAAACAACAATAATTGCAATCTGGTTTCTCGCCTGTTGGAACAACCAATTCAACAGAAATTGAGAAAGGGATATAGAGAGAATATATGAGAAAGTTTGATTTAATCTAGAACCAGAGTGTTTTTTAATAGCCACAATTCAACTGCTACATAAACTGATGCATACACATTTGTGCTTGCGTACACACAAGAGCAGGACGGTATATCAGTATTTAAGATATATTCTATATTATTTTGGCTGTGAAATAATACATACTGTATTCTTTACATACACTGTTCAAAAGTTTGGGGTTTCTCTTAGCAAGGCTGCATTTATATGATCAAAAATACAGTACAAACAGTAATATTGTGAAATATTATTGCAATTCTATATGATTGTTTTCCATTTAAATATATTAGAAAATGTCATTTATTCCTGAACGCTGCTGTAAATTTAGCTTTGCATCACAGGAATAAATTACATTTTCTAATATATTTAAATCCAGTCTTAGGTGTTACATAAAACTGGGCTGCTTAACATTATATATATTCCAGCTCTATAAACGTTAAACCTCAACTTGGCTTCTTCACTTCAAGCTCTTCCAAATCAGATGAATTTCGAATTTTTCAGATGAACAATGTCTAAAATGTTACACAACCAGAAAAACATTAATAGCATCAAAAAACTTCATCCCATTATTTCATTCCATTTAAGAATTGCATCACATTATGCCAAAAATCACTCAAGCACTTTCGAAAAATTGCAAAGCTCTCCATAGGACTAGCAAGCTCTCTGCACACCTATTCATCAGACTACAGCAGCACCCACAAATCTCCTACATCCTCCACACTGGCACCCTCATGGGAAACTGAGTTCTGAATGACTCACACAGTTGTTTCAACTCATTCGCTTTATTGTTTGGATCAAACCTCGGAAGAATGGCTCAAGGGAACCAGATGAGAGATGCCAGGAGAGATGCAGTCTGTGCCTTTGACCTGACCCTTGTCCCTTGATGCAGTATCTCTTTGGAGGTTTGATTCTCTTTGCCAGGGCGAGGAACTACAATTCCCGCTTTTTCTTCTCTCCATCTAAAAATGAATTCCCCTTCTATTTTTTATAGTTGTGCATCGGTGTTAGAAATGTTTCCATTGGATGCCCTCACAGAATGCTTTAATCAAAACATTGTATTGAGCACTGTGGAAGAGCAGGGAACAAGAGAAATGCAGAGGAGGAACGCTGTAAACATGCAAGCGCAGTAAGAACAGCATGAGAGGAGTGAAGGCTCTTCAAACCCTCTTTCAGAAGAAGCACATTCAGGTCTGGACAAATAAAAGCAATGCACGGGGAACGGACGACAAGAGAGGGAGACAGTGAAAATAAGGGAGGAGGCGTCTCTCGCTAGACTGAATTCACAAACCCGGTGCTGTTCAAAGACGGCATGCTGAGGACACCTGTGCATAAAATTCAAAATTCTGCTCCAAAAACAACTCTGGACTATATATATATATATATATATATATATATAGAGAGAGAGAGAGAGAGAGAGAGAGGTTCACATGAGTGTACTCTATGTATGCTGATAAAGTTATAATATAATATATATCCAAATTTATATATTGAGCTGTGCA